GCTTTTAACCCGCTGCGCCACCAGGGAGGGCCGGGGCTTTGCTTTTTTAAAGATTTACTTCTTTATGCACACAGAACTGGGGCACAGGCCAGAGGTGCAAGGGGGTGAGAGGATTCCCCAGAGAAGTGGGGGGCAGAACAGGCCGATTGATGAGGTACACTGCTGAGGGGGGCCGTGGGCGGGCCAGGCGAGGTCTGCCGCGCCCTGTGGGTCACCGCGGACATGGAACTCTTGTGCTGCCCCAGCTTTAGCTTCTTAGCGCTGCGCTCTAGCCCGCGGCGCCACCAGGGAGGGCCTGGAGTTGCTTTTAACTTGTGCGTGGATTTTATCAGCAGAATCCTGAAGTGACTAAGGGAAAAACTGAGCGTAAGCTCAGTTCCCCGTCCATTTTCATGAACTGTGGACCGCCAGACAGGAGGGCCTTGAGCAAACAGCCTTCTTCATTGACTCCCTGAATTGCAGGCACCTTGCGCAGGACCCGCTTCCATGGCACTGGCCCTGTAGTTTGCACGGACCTGTCCCCCAGTTAAGCGGAGACGTAGCTGTACTGTCTCGGCCGATGAGGCACAGTCAGAAAGGGCATTTTTGAATGAATAGGAGCTCTAATATTTTCTTCCTGTAAGTCTCATTTTTGAAACTCCTGGAGTTGCGGTACCAACTGTGTGTGACTTGTCTCTGTGGACCGTGTTGGTTTCTGGAGTTCCTCCTTCCATAAAAACTGTTTGTCGGGTCTCTGTAAAATTTGCTTTATATCCTCTGGTCTGATGTCAGGTCCTGTAGTCTAAGCAAACATGAGGCAGCCCTGAATTCACTTTCAATCACTTGCTGTCTTTGCTGTTGCTCTAGAGCACCTCTTAACCTTTTGGAGGTCACAGATATCTTTGAAACCCTCATGCAAGGTCTGGACCCTCTCCCCAGAAAAAGGCATGTGCACATACTTTGCATGCAGGATGAGGGGCTTTCTATCACAACTCTGTAGCCCTGAGGAGTCCACGGACCTCTGATTAAGATTCCGTGCCTTTAGCTCTGACTTAGGGGACAGTTAGTGTTTGATTTCACTGTTGATCTTGATGGTGAGATGCTGACTTTGGGTTGACTTAGGGTATTACTCTTAAAAAAATAATAATCCGCCCTCCCTGGTGGCGCAGCGGGTTAAAGCACAGCACTGAGAATCTAAAGCCGCTTCTGCATGAGTTCGATTCCCGCCTGCCCCGGAGGTGACCACATGGTGTGGCAGACCTCTCTTGGCCCACCCGCTGCTCCCATCAGCAGTGGACTTCCACGATCTGCCTGTTCTGCTCCCCACTCTGTCTCTGGTGAAGGCTCTCACCGCCCCTGAGCCTCTGGCCTGTACCCCAGTTCTGTATGCACAAATAAATAAATCTTTAAAAAAAATAATAATAATCTTCACATTTTTATAAAGAGAATTTGGGGTCTTGTTACGGATTCTTAAAGGAAAGAAGCAGCTCTGAAGTAGGGAGGAAAATATATATTGGGTTCTTGAAGAAGCCATGACATGTTCTTGCTTGAAAAACAAAAACTATGTCATGACTTCTCAGACAAACTAATAGATATGAATTGATATGTAATTTCACATCAACTGCAAATTTCTGAAGGTTCTGTAGCAGTGCCATTCTAACAGCTGAAAAGAGACTGACTTGTGGATGAAATGCTTTCAGCTGGTATCTGCAGTACACAGTTTTCCAATCAATGGTGAGAAAAGACACTATTGCAGAAAAGGAACAAGAAATGTGCACTGATGTGAGTGTTGAAAATGACATTTTGTAATATTGAAGCATAAAGTGCATATTTGCTAAAAATAGTTTGGAAAGGGATGTATTTGAACTAGGTTTAGATTAAAGGCAGATTGGAGTGATACTTAAATTTTGTAAGGTATTTGGCTTTTATCATACAGGAAGAATTTTCAAAGGTGGTGAACCTTTGGGAATTTGAAAGGAGTATTTGATCCTTTTCTTCTTTTGGCTGTGAAAGGATGAGGGACTAAAGAGAGAAAGATTTCATCAGATTTTCACTATAGCAGTCATTCCCCTGCTTAAAACCTTTTACTTATATCCTTCCTATTTTCTCCAGTTTAGTTTCTCAATGCTCCAGTAGCTTTTTATTTTATTTCATTATTTCACAGGATGACAAAGTCCGTAGTCTGCTAACACATAGGAGTTATTGTGTGACAAGCACTGGTCAAAACTTTTTCTTTACATAACTTCCACTCACACCCCCAGACCTTTGCTTTATTATTAGTTTCCCTTCAGGTATCAAACATGACTTAACCAGTGAACCCTTAAGAAGGATATTATCTCCCTATCTATACACGTGGGCCCCTTTTTAAAATATTTTCATAGGACCTTGTCGGTTCTTTTTAGTCAAACTATTTATATGATCATTGATAGTGTTTTTCCTCTACTATTTTTTGAGTTCCGTGTGGACAAGAACTCTGTTTTGCTTGTGATTATTTCCTTGCTAGATATCTAGTGCTTGACACACGGTGGGTACTAAGTAACTGTTAAGGGAGTAAAGTTAGTTACACCTGAAATAAGATAGTGGCTGATAGAAGGAGAATGAATTTAAAAGAAATTTAAGATAAAGAATTGTCAGTATCTATAGATGAGTTGGTTGTGGGGAGAAATAAAAGATGACTTTGTTATAGGGCAACCCCAATGTGAATTGGGTTGTCTCACCTGAGAGCTTAAAGGGACTTTCGATACAGTTCAACTGCAGGCACACTCACAAAGGCTAATAATAGGTTTATTTACAAGAGAAAGGGAAATAAATAACTCAGGGGAAAAAAGAGAGAGCAGAGACCTTGGTTAATGTGTCGAGTAGTGCCTCTGACCTGGAACCCCAGTAGTACACTGAGAGCCTGCTAAAGCCAAGGGACAAGCCACAAGCTAAGAGGCCAAGAGACCCCCAGAAGCCCACCTGTCTGGTTTTAGATCCAACATGGCTGCTTAACTCCACCCTCAGGTCCCAGCAATCCTACCGTTGGTGATGGTGGGATTTGTACTTTGGAGTCCACAAAAACTGTATCTGTGGTTTGTTCAGAACATCCTTTCCCCCTAAAACTTCAGAGTTTGAGTAGTGAGACTTTTAGGTTAGAAGGAAGCTAAGAAGCCATTTTTGTGCAGAAGAGTTAATTTGGGGTTAATGTGTCTTTGAAATAATGACTTGAAAATGTGGATCTACTGCTCAGAAGCTGAGAGCTGATGATAAAGGTTTGCGACTTATTTGAAATTTATCTATAGGGTGCCTGTGTGAGCTGGCTACCAAAAGTTGGTAGGAATATAGCAG